TGAGGCCAATACATTTTCATGATTATAATACATAACTGATACATCTCAACAACATAAAAATTGTAAGGAGAAAGAGTAACAACAGTGGTATTACTTTCAAGAATTGTGTTGGGAACTAAAAAAGAATTTCACAAAATTAGATAAATATATCCAGTCTGACATAAACACCATATGGTAGCTGCCTTAAGAGACAGGAGTTGTATGTTATGTGTTAAATTATGACACAGAGGTAGTAGTAAGAGATGGAAAGCAAATGAAATTTGCACAGTTGGGTCTGAAGCCTAATATTTTATTTTTCTCGATAAAAATAAAATTGCAATATTAAAGGTATGGAGCATTTTTCTCGCATCTCGTAAAACTTTATAGAAGGAAGCAGTTGTTAATATACTGCGATGATTTTCCAAATAATGGCATGGTTTAGCTCTTCTCTGGCTGCACTGTTTATTGAATTTTAGTTTAAAATAAAACTTAGTGTAACTACATTCACAGCAACCGAAAATGGTCTCAAAATTTAATAATTTTTTCATACTTGAGAGGATAGAATCAATACCACAGTATAATTAAGAAGGTTTCAATTGACCTCTGGGTGAAACAAGCACACAGACACCAAATACACGCCAGAAAGACTCAGATATGAGAACTATAAGATTCCAGGTCTTCCATCAAATAGTGCTTTGCAAGAGAAAAATGAAAATAGTTAAAATACATGGGCAATATATGCTGCCTCAAATCCTTCTTGTAAGTAGGCAGTGTCAATATTATAAATCAATAAATCTTAAGATGGGATAAATCTAAAACATCTGCCTCAAAAAACAAAGATCTCCCCCACCTCCCAAAATCACAAAAAACAAACCAAACCCTAATTAAAAAAATTTTTTTGAACTAGAGATAGGATCTTGCTATGTTGTCTAGGTTAGTCTCAAACTCCTGGCCTCAAGTGATCTTCCCCACCTTGGCTTCCCAAAGTGCTGGGATTACAGGTGTGGGCCACCATGCCAGCCAAGATGCTCATTTAAACAGGTTTTAAATACTTTAAGAAAAAATATATAATCTCTCTATCCACATAACAAAAAAGATATGATTGTTCCAAATTTAGATGCTGAATCCATCATATTTATAGCAATCCCATTTTGTGAGCATCTTGGCTGCTGAATCCTGTGTATTCATAAAGACAGTAGGAGTTATAGTCACAATTTTTTTTTTTTATTTTTAGTTTTTCATGGCACTTCCAGTTTTTGGAACATATTACTTTAACTTGTTCAGCTATTTCAAAATAGCAGGGGAACTTTACCTTTGCAAAAACGCAACAGTGGCCAAAGTGGAAAGTATTTCTAGAATCTCATTTAATAGAAAGGCAATGAGCAGTGGTTCTACCACTAACAGCTCCACTTTTTCTGAGCAAGGAATAGGCACAATTACAGAAAGAGCTGAAAGAGAAGAGGCAGAGAATGAAAGAGGAATTAAAAGAGAAAAATCAGGGGAAAGTATAAGAAAGATGGTAACGTAAACATAAAATTTAACAAGGAAAAAAACACAAAAGAGAGAAGGGGGAGGGAAGAAAGTGATGTCCAAGAAAAAGGAAGAAAAACAGTCAAAGATCTCTCTTATGATATAGTAATAAATTTATCAAACAACTTGAATAATTACCCTGTCATTATAAAATCAACTCCATACTCAAATTACACATTTTTTTCCTCTAAAGAATTAGTAACTAATTGATCAACATCTTTGTTTAGAAATAAGGCTTTGAAAAGTCAACATGCCTAGAGTTAAATAAGAGGTAGAGCCGTTCATCATTGCTTCAGAATTAGTCGAGATGACCAAGAATATTCATATAGAACTTGCCACATGTTCTTTTAAATAGCCAACACTGTTATTCGAAATTACTGGATTTGTAAGACATTTAACCCCCTCTGAAATGGGTCTGTATATAAACCAAGATACAAAGACGTTAACTCTCTTTCTGACTCTATAAACACTTTTCATTCAAATGAAAGCACTATTCTACTTTCCAGAGATACAAAAACTTTAATTCAAGTGATCATGAAGTATTAATTTCCCCACTTTATATAAATTGGTAAAATACTATGTGGTATGAACTCCCATTCTTCTCATGAAGGATAATTTTTTTAAAAGAAAAACTCCCTCTAATAATGTAGATAAACACAACCCAGGAACACTAAGCATAGTAAAATGTGATACTTTATACAAGATCAGCTATCTGCCAAAATGCCAAACCTAAGTGGAAATCTAAGGAACATACCCAGCTGCTGGCAATGCTTTCAGAGATCATTTTTGTCTACATCTGTGGTAGTTTTCTATGAAAAACTGTAATCCACAATATTCTGAGCCTGCACACTAACCCATTCCAAGGGTGGCACAGTTAGGGGCTCCTGTAAGTGTTTTGCCTTGGCTAGACAGACTTCACCTACAGCAGTCTCTTGAAAACTTGGTTGCCCATCTGAATTATTCTGTATTTGTGGAGAAAATATTAGTCATTATAAAATAACTACACTGCCCTTCATTGACACTAATGTAATAATGACCACCTTATTAATAAAGAATATACTTTTGAGTTGTTTTCTAACAGTGCTCCATAACTTAAGCTAATTCATCCTTAACTGTTTCTTAACTGATCCTTTGGCCCAATGGTTACCTGGGACTAGTGGTACCCAATTGTGACAATAAAATACTCTTTAAAATTATATTGAGAAAGGACAAATAATCTAGTTGTTATTGGCCTGCAGTAGAAATAATTTAACTGAATATTATTCTCCAGAATAAAATATTCATCTAATTGAATTGAACAGTTCAATTAGATGAATATTTACACTAAATTGTTCATCCCCTTCTTCTGATGATACATACAAATTTAAGGAATATAGCAAGAACTGAATCAATAACCATATATGGAAAAAACAAGAAACAAGAGAGATGTTAGCTGTTAAGTGAATAAAATTAAAAATGAAAGCAAGTGAAAAGTGGTTCTCTCTAGGCCAGACTTTTATGCCTTTTGTTTGTTTTGGAACCTAAAAGGCTCCTAATAAACAGTGTTACAAATGTATACAATAAAATTAACAAAACCTTAACACTAGTTATAAAGAAAGCTTGGCCGGGCGCGGTGGCTCAAGCCTGTAATCCCAGCACTTAGGGAGGCCGAGACGGGCGGATCACGAGGTCAGGAGATCGAGACCATCCTGACTAACGCGGTGAAACCCCGTCTCTACCAAAAAAAACACAAAAAACTAGCCGGGAGAGGTGGCGGGCGCCTGTAGTCCCAGCTACTCGTGGGGCCAGGCAGGAGAATGGCGTTAACCCGGGAGGCGGAGCTTGCAGTGAGCTGAGATCCGGCCACTGCACTCCAGCCTGGGCGACAGAGCGAGACTCCGTCTCAAAAAAAAAAAAAAAAAAAAATACAAAACACATTAAAAAATGAAGTATTTTTTTTTCCCTTGGCAGTGGTAGCATCATAGGAAACTAAGAAGTAATCTATGCAAGTTACAATTAGTTTATTTCCTTTATAATGGACAAAATGGCCAGAAAAAAGACTTTATTAATCATACAATTGGTGGCATATGCCTGCTGTCCAGCAATATGAATAAGACAGGCACTGGCAGTGACAACAAGTGATGATGTGAGGCTTAAAACTCATGGTATTGGCCAGGCGCAGTGGCTCATGCCTGTAACATCAGCACTTTGGGAGGCCAAGGCGGGCAGATCACCTGAGGTCCGAGGTCGAGACTAGCATGGCCAAAATGGCGAAACCCCATCTCTACTAAAAATATAAAAAAATTAGCCGGGCATGGTGGCATGTCTGTAATCCCAGTTACTTGGGAATCTGAGGCTGGAGATCGCTTGAACCCGGGAGGCAGAGGTTGCAGTGAGCCAAGATCGTGCCACTGGACTCCAGCCTGGGTGACAAAGCGAGACTCTGTCTCAAAAGGAAAAAAAAAAAAAAAAAACCTCATAGTATTTCTAGTAAGTATCACAAAGGACATTTTTACTACTGTTTAAAGGGCTGGTTATAGACTCAATTGTGCCACAAAATGATCTTATCTTTGAGAGCCTCCTTTTTGAATCTCCTGGCATCTAATAATTTTACACACCCCAGTTCTTCTGGTCACTGAAGAACTCAATTCATATTAACAAGGCAAGGACGATGTGTTCCATACTAGCAATCAGAATATTTTAGAAAATGCAACCTAGAGGAATGCTTGACTCAAGGGAATGAATTACTGTAGTGACTCTTGGAGGGTGACAGGAAATATTCTGGAGGAAAAGCCTGTCAAATTATACTACCAAGGGGGCCACCCACTTGCTTCACACTAAGACTGGCATTACCTTCTTATATGATATTAACACATTCACTATGTTTATGTTTTGAACTGTAGGGCATGGTCCTGATAAAGCAAGCTTTGGTTCATATAAATGTATATTGCATATACTTCACTCATATTTAACTATTTAATTATCTTAATTGTAACTGATCTGTTATTTCTCAAGTATAGACCATTTTCCTTTGAATAAATGCATGGCAATATTTTCAACATGTTACCGAATTGGTACCCTACCCTTGGGTTATTCTGTTTCAATGCTTTATCAGTGATTATGTGGATTTTTCTAATCCTCAATTTAACATACCCAAATATAGAAAATAAGTACATAGCTTGAATGATTATTTTTTACAACTTTAAGGAAAATGCTGAAAGCAGAACTTATGAAATGCCATATTTTACCTTAATTTTAGGTGAAATAATAAAATAGAAATTCAGTAACTCATGTAAATAAAAAATATCCCCTCAAATAAAGACCTTACCACATTACAGATAATAGTACAAATTAAATAATTATACAAGTATAATAGCCTCAAAACTGTATCTCAATCATGACTCAATTCTAATCTTTTTGCAGTTTTATGATTATTCTGGAGAAGCTGAAATTTATAAATTCTATTAAGATCAAAGACCTTCCAATACACTAAAATAATACCGAGACCATTATGATTTCTTATGAATAATCATTGTTTTAAACATCTTTGTGTCTTCACATAAATTATGAAAATTTAACTCAGAAGAAAAATATTATAATCCATAATCCATTAAATAAAAAATACAGTGAGCTAGGTCAAAGTCAGTATTTTAAGAAATAATTAAGGTATTGTACTCAAGAGCACTTTTTTTTTCACTAGGATAGGAAAGTGAAACATAATTAGCATTTTACTCCATGACAGCAAGTTCACTGCACTTCTAAATGTTTGACTATCTCCAAAAATACACTTTTCAATGTTTTATAATACACACATATTTTATACTTGTGAGTTAACATAGGTATTTTTCTTGAGAAGACATTACAAAATGAAGTGCTGATATGAACAAAACCTCACAGGCAAAATTTTAGAAAATCTGAAATCATCTTGCCTGGGTCATAATTCAAAGACAGTGACAAATGTTGTTAGGGGAAACAAAATCAGTAGAAATATAAAATATGAAAAGTCTTTAAAATCCAGACAGCAAATATAAAAAACAGACAGACTTCAGTGAAAGCTTGGATAGCTATTTAAAGAAATGAGGTATGATGAAGTCATAGTGCTACAATATGTATCTATGTATTAAGAACCTATATTTCAAAGTTGCAAAATCAGCAAATCATAAACTATTTGCTGCTGTGTTCACATGACCTTACTGGTCAGATGTTTAATGGTCACTAATAATACATTTAAAATAAGCATGAAGCTAACTGCATGATCATATGGTGAGTTTATCCGCCACATAAGAAGGCAAATTATAAGTAAAAATGTAAGCAAACAATTTTGTATTAATAATAAATAGAGCTTTAAGCATTTAACATTATCAATACTTTTAAAATTTAAATAAATGCAACTATTTTATACAGAACTGTACCATTTATTATACACACAAGTAAGTTCCCTTTGTTAACAAAGGCTGGTTATAGATAATATGGAATGTTACAGTACCATCTTGCATAAAATTCTAGTACAATTTTGTACTTGAAAAAGGGTGCAAAAACACCAGCCTAATAAATCTGACTGAATTGAAATATCTCTTCTTTCTTTTTAAAAAGTACATCATTAACCACATACACCACAAACTGTACATAAGCTCACTTTAAATCACCAATTGGAGATATGATAGCATGTATATTGTAGTGTTAATTATCCCTCCCATCAGTTTAATTTATTAAAGCCTTACACTGCTGTTCATTCAGGAGCCTTTGTTGATGTGCAAGCTTGTAATATGAATTACTGAACTTAGGTAAGTACAATTTAAAGGAGGCCAGTGACAGCTGCCAAGAATTATTTGCAGTAAGAAATGTCCTTCTCACAGAAGACTCACTTAGGAGCAAACATTTTTTAGAATATCTTCCTTCTTTCAAATATATTGTAGCCGGTCAAGATTCTCCATTTTGAACTCTGGATGCTGGTGGTTGCATGAAATCCTTAAAGGGAACTAGTGCCTCTTTAAGTGCAGAACAGACTTCAGAAGAAGAGCAGGTGATGCATTCTACTAAAGTTGGGTATAAGGCGATTACTTGTGCCCAGGTATTTCCATCAACTGTAATGCAAAAGTATAAAACCTCAAAAGGGTAGAATTAAATAGCAGACATTATTCAATTAACAGGAACACAATCCTTTAAACTGAATGTAAAGAAAAAATTCTGAAATACGAAGATTCTACAAGCTTGTATCTTTTTATCTTTTTAATTTTTCAAAGATTTCCTGTTATATTTAATAAGGTATAGGAAAAAATATATGTTCAGTGTGCAGTCATCAGTAACAATAAATTTGATAAAGTACATTTTAAATGGTATTTCAATTTGCAAAGGCTCTGAAAGCTAACAAAGCAATTCAGAATAATCCAAACTTTGGCATTTTTAATATAATTGCCAGAGGATGTAGTGTACGTTTCAAGAATTAGAAACTTTCAGTTGTCTGCTAAAAGTAGAAAGCTTTTGAAATACAAAATATGTTTAATGATTTTCCCAGTAATATCTTTGATGTTACTTTTAATTACAAATGGTCACAAACAGATTCATTGTTGTCTTGTACTGTTTGCTAATCTTTAATGTATATCATTAGATGTAGACTTGAGTGGGGAGGAACCATGTCTGCCTTCTTCACCACTATCATGAACAAATAGTACAGCTGAATGCTATTGCTACTGAATGGGCAAAAGTGTTACATCCCAATTAGTTATATTTTCCTATAAGTATTGTGCATAATGTTGGGCATCCAATATGCAAGATTTTTTTTAGACTTAGATATTTTTAAAATTTTGTGAAACAAGTCTCAAATCTAAAAGGCATTATAGTATTAAAGAAAAATAAATACTACGTGTAGAGAGCTTTGATTTTGTTTCTCACTACAATTTACTGGATGTCAATTGCCTAAAATTCTTTCTGAAATAAGGCAATGATGGGTGTCCCTGGTCAAGTCATTTAATTTCTCTTTATCTTACTTCTCCCACTGTAAAATAAAGAAATGAGTTTCTCAAACTAGTGTTCCTCAATTTACTTCTTAGGAAAAAGCTCCTGATAAAGTAGTTTGGCAGATGTTTCGTATCTCTCACCTTTTGGAGACAAAGTCTTCATATCAATTTATTAAGGGCTTGTAGTAAAAGAACAAATTTAACTTTAACCCAGTGTTCCCAAATTCAATTATGGAGTTTTTTTCATCCAATATCTACTGACAACACACATCATCAATGTTCATGCCTTAGTACATATCTTGGAAAAATGCTATACTGTTAATTTAACCTCTTTTCCCAAACAGGGGCTTCCTCAGGGTGGGTGTGATAAGAAACGGGGAACGGGGCTGATGGGTATTGCTGAGGGTGAGGAGTCAGGCTGGAGTTGTTCTGCTTTTCTCTGTTTTAATATGTTGGGAATTCACATCACATTTCATTTGTAAAAAGAATTTTGCTGCTTAACAGAATACAAAAGTCTAAAAGCCACTGTCTAAGAAGTTTTAAAAAGTCTGCTTCAGTTGTCTCCTGTGAAACTTTACACTAATCATTTAACAAAAGATTAGATAGAATGAAACCTGTCTAGGTTGTCCCAGATGGAGAGTCAATTGACCAAATTAACCCTTGGTTTATTACGGTAAAACACAAAAGTACGTTAAGATGACATCTTAAACTCAAAGGAAGCAAGTCAAATTTCTTAAATTAAAATATGTTTTAGGCTGGCGTGGTGTCTCACGCCTGTAATCCTAGCACTTTGGGAGGCCAAGGCGGGCGGATCACCTGAGGTCAGGCCTGGCCAACATGGTGAAACCCCATCTCTACTAAAAATACAAAAATTAGCCAGACGTGATGGTCCCAGCTACTCAGGAGGCTGAGGCTGGAGAATCGTTTAAACCTGGCAGGCAGAGGTTTCAGTGAGTTGAGATTGTACCACTGCATGCCAGCCTGGGCAACAGAGCAAGACTCTATCTAAATATTCATTTGTGTACAAAATTCATTGTGTACAAATATTCATTTGTGTACAAAACAGGAATGGGGGAGTATTAGAATATGTGCTTTGTATTTAGAAAATAAACTTCTGCAGGGATCCACAAACTAATAAAAATGGTTGTCTGTGGTAAAGTAAGAACTGGGCAGATAAAGAATAAGGAAAAGATCATATTAAAACTTTTCCCTGTATATCATTTTACAGTTTTGGATTTTTGGACCATGTGTATGTATACTACCTATTTAAAATTTTAAATAAAGATCAAGCAAAATGATGAAAACAAAATCTCGGCTGGGGGGCAGTGGTTCATGCCTGCAATCCCAGCAGTTTGGGAGGCGAAGGTGGGCAGACTGCTTGAGCTTAGGAGTATGAGACCAGCCTGGCCAACATGGCAAGACCCTATATTTACTGAAAATACAAAACAATTAGCAGAATGTGGTGGCACGTGTCTGCAGTCCCAGCTACTTGGGAGGCTAAGATGGGAGGATTGCTTGAGCCCAGGAGGTCAAGGCCGCAGTAAGCGTCGATCACACTATTGCACCCCAGCCTGGGTGACAGAGCGAGAGCCTGTCTGAAAAAAGACAAAAAAACAAAAAACTCCCCAAACAAAAATAAGTCTAACAAATGCATCTTTTCTCACAAAAAAGCCCCGAAACAAATAAGGAAGTCATTCTTTTTCTTAATAAAGCTTACCACAGCGTCCTAAAATGTTATATCATCTTATATGCTTACATTCAAATTTTTACTTCATAGACCCAGAGACATAATTCAAACTCTATTAAACAATTTTTAAGATTCATTTAGTTAAATCATCTATTACTACAATGTCTTATACATATAACCTTTTTACTGAGTTTTTGCTTCCTTTTCTCCCTTTATACACGTTCTGGTTCTTCTTTTTTAAAAAAAAAAAAAAAAAAAAATGGGGTCTGACTACATTGTCCAGGATGGTCTCAGACTGCTAGACTCAAGCAATCCTCCCACCTCAGGCTCCCAAAGTGTTGGGATTGCACATGTGAGCCACTGCACCAGCCCAGAACACTATTTTAGGAAAACCCAAATCTGAACTCTAATAGGATAAATTCAGGACATTGCCCCAGGCTTTTTCTTAGAAATTCCATCCCTCCCTTTGGGTTGAATAAATACAAGTGTACTGCCTCTTAAGATTTAGTATAATACCCTTTCTAGGCCAAAGTACCAATGGGTGAATTTTAAGAAAAGAAAAATACATATTTACTCCACTTATATAATAGTTGACAGGAATAAATATCCTACAACTCATTCATTAATTTACTAGGAATCTCCTTTTTTCTTGGGTATTGAAAGTAATGCTCCTTAAAGTGCCAATCTGCTACAAAATAAGAAGCTTTTGCCAGAATGTAAACCAACACGCTGCTTTCTTCTTTACCAATGTCTTCTTGTATAAAAAAAAGTCAGCTGAACCAAGCAGTGTGTTTAGTGACACATCTGATTTATATTCTGATGCCAGCTCACTATTTTGTCCCAGACCAGTAACAAAACTGTTGAAGCCAATCAATGGCTGGTCCAACAAACCATACTTTGAAAAGCAATGTTGTAGAGGATTCAAAATAGAACAAAACATAGTCTGAAAATCCTCTCAAAAAATCTTAACAATGTAAAGGGAGATGAGTCATGTACATGCATAATTGTAATACAAATAGAGTGCTTCAAGACAAGTACGCATAAAAAAGCTTTGCATTCAATGAAAAGATGAATTATTTACCTTTAAGAGATTAAAAACAAGGTTTAAAAGTAGGGTGGTATTCCAAACAGGTCGATACAAGCTGGATAATGAAATAAACAAAAGGTTGGAAAAATTTGGGAAGATTGAGAATTTTAGTTTAGTGGAGAGTAGGGGAAATGAAATCTATTGTGGAAAATGAAGTGTGACTAGAATGGAGTCAGAGTGCAGTATTCTTTGCAACTTGGTAGGAAACAGTAAATGAAAAATACTTTTTTGCTTTGAGAGGATGAGGAAATAAATGATCGAAGCCCTACTATAGAAAAATCATTTCTGGCTATCATGTAAAGAATGGACTGGATAGGAATGAATAACAGAAAGGGCAAATAAATGAGAAAGAATGATAAAAAGGATTCAAAATTATTTATACAGTTTGTATCTATAAAGTAAATCAGTACAAATAGAAGATAAAGCCCTTTTCCATCTCTCCCCAAATAAGTCAATGATCTACATTAAAAAATATATGAAATATGGATTGTTCTTACAATACCCTGACTTCAGAACAATTTAGTAAAAAAAAAAAAAAAAGTCAGGTAGACTGCCTCATAAAAAATGAAAACATTACAAATTAATTTTACTTAATTGACATCCTAATGGACTTGATGTTTTGTTGTCATAAGAACTGGAGAAAAGAAGTCTAATGACTGTTATGTTCCTATAATTCAGTTAAATTAATAGTAATACAAAAGTCCATCACAAATAGAACATAAATGCTATGAATTTAAAATAACTGAGTTTCTAAGCACTTACCATTCTCAGGCTGAGTTTTCTTAAGTGAATCAATAAGAGTACTGACTGCTTTTAAAACAAATATAATTTCTGTTACTTGTTGCCTAAAAAAGAGATAGGAAATCATTTCCATTAAGATTTTAAAGTTATCAGGTGTGTTTGTTTTTTAAACTAAGTTTGTGCAAATAGATGAACTTTTGAAAAATACTGAACACAATACAATGCAAGGTTAATGTTAGTTTTAAATGCATATAAAAGTAAAAATCATTTTATTTATATGTACTTCAGTGTGCAAATCAAATTTGTAGTTATTCTTGCCATAACTTATCAATTAAGAAAGGGGTGGGGCAATCTACTCATGAAAAATTAAATTTGTAAGATATTTCACATTACTTAAAATTAAAATGTTTTATTTTTATTTATTGATTTTTTGAGACAGGGTCTTGCTCTGTCACTTAGGCTGGAGTGCAATGGTGAGATCACAGCTCACTGCAGCCTTTACTTGGGCTCAAGTGATCCTCCCACTTAGCCTCCTGAGTAGCTGGGACTACAGGTGCATGCCACGTTGTCTGGCTAATATATTTTTTTTTTAAGTAGAAACAAAGTCTTGCTATGCTGCCCATGCTGGTCTCGAACTCCTAGGCTCAAGTGATCCCCCTGCAAAGTGATCCTCCTGCCTTGGCCTCCTAAAGTGCTGGGATTACAGGCATGAGCCACTGTGCCCTGCCCTTAAAACATTTTATAATACATGCTTTTAAAACTTCTCTACAAGTTTTTTTTTTTTTTTTTTTAACTAATTAGTACTAAAAGAGCTTTGCCAAAGTTTAAATGGAAACAAGACTACTATTACCACATGGCATATATTTTACCATGCTGATGAAAGTATATTCAAAATTACAATGGTACTTATTTAACTTTCTAATACTACAAACAAGAAACATGCTGGAAATCAATCCTAAGGTAGCACTATTTGGAGACATTAGCAATGAAGAATGAACTTGGAGTAAAGGGTCAACAAGAGTAGCTTGATTCCCTTCTTTCTCCTCACAGAAACAAAGCTCTTCTGGTCTATGGCCCGCCCTCATCCCTCCCCATTCCTGGTGTGCATCTGTGTTATTGTACAGATAAGACTTTTCTAATACCATGTCAGGGTGCTATTTCAAGACTTCCTATTGTAAGCATTGAAGTATTTTATTGTGTTGCAATGTAGCTTTTTAGAAAACAATTTAATGATACTGCAACAAACACAGAATGATACAGTATAACTTCATAGGACAATTATAAATAAGGCTCAATTTAAAGGTAGTTGTTAAAAAGTAAAGACTTAGAACATTAAAAAATAAAGTGAAAGTTTTCTTCGGAAATCAAATAATATTTTATCATATATAAATATATTCTAACAATATTCCACTCAAAACAACCTTATTACCGCATTTCCAAGTATACTTCAGAAATCAATTTTCAATCATGCCCATAACCAAATTACTAACATCTGTCTTTGGAGTGTTTTTGTGTATAAATTTGAGTATGAGAAGTTATAATTTATGTTCTAGAAATTCAAAATACACTGGATTCTAAAAGAAGAAATACAAATAGCTAATATGCATTGGTAATTAAAAAATGAAAGCAAACTACCATATGACTATTTTTCATTCACCAAATTAGAAAAAGATAAATGATAAACTGGCAAATAATTTTAAAATGCTAAAAATTGAGGAAAGGGACACTGGGAGAATGTAAATTGGTATAAATCTCTGTTGGGAAATTTGGTTAATGCATATCAAAAGCTATAAAATGTCTGTGTCTTTTGACAGGTCAATTCCAACTTCAGAAATTTATTATAAGTAAATTAAAATGTGCACAAAGATTTAATGCTGGTGATTTGCCTCTCTAGTCCTACCTTATGAGATGGCAACAATGATTTTTGTCTTTCCTGACTTTGATAACTATGTTTTCCCATGTTATTTTCTGTTGGCTTCATTTGCTATGTCTTAAACTCTAATTTCCACATTAAAAAAGTAGATTTGCAACCTAACTCAAATGTATGACTGCATCCTTTGTTGAATTCTGGTCTGTACTCCAACTCTGATTAGCCTTGGCTGACCAGGAGAGCCTAGTGCCCCTTCTACTGACACAGGTTGAATAGATGAGAAATAAATCAGTTTAGGTCCATGGGCTTAATTAAGCAGATTGGATGAAAAGAAGACCTAAGATCAGGCTAGCTGACACAGACAGAAACCTGCAAATGACTGTAAAACAAACTAGGATATTCCTAAAATATGATTTATGATTTTCACTATAGAGAAATAATATGTGTTCATACAGATCCACAAGTCCTTATCTGGAAATCTCTGGAAGAAGATATATTTTGGAATTCAGTTTATTTTTTTTTAAATTCAAAAAGGTAATTTGGTACCTATGTATCATATGTTACATAACCTCCATGATGGGTCTAAAAAAGTACCCCATAACAAAACATGTTAATATGTCTACAGGAAAACCTGTGAATATTTACACCATATAGGATAAGCTTATAAACAACTTCAGCTTAGTTCAGATCACTTACAAAAATACTTGCTTTTCAGAATTTTCCTTGTTATCAACAATTAGTACAACAATACATTTATTTCTTTAATAAAATGAAATATATACCTTGGAAGAGGGCATTTACCACTTAATCTTTCATCCTCTATATAGCGATGTAGTACATCTTGGGACCTCTTTAAAAGCACTGAGAGTGCCATTCGTGAGATGTAGCCTTCTTGAGGTGTTGTGACTTTATTACTGAAGGAAAACTGAAGCAACGTTTCAAAACACATTTTAGAAAATTCCTCTCTCAAACGAATATCAATCTCTGCTTCTGTAAAATTAACAAATTTTGATGGTTAATAAAAGTTAAATCAATGAGCTTTAATGATAACAATGCGTAGCAAACTAGGAATAGAGGGAAATTCCTCAATCTGGTGAAAGGCATCTAGAACAACCTATAGCTAATAGCATACATATAGTGAAATTGTGTTGTGTGTGTATGTGTGTGTGTAGAGAGAGAGAGAGAGAAACAAATTCTCCCTCACAAGATCAAAAACAAGGCAAGATCCTCATCACTTCTATTCAACATATTTCTTGACTTGGTCTTTCTATACTATAAAACAGTACTATAAAATATACTTCACAATAGTTTTTCATGCGGTCAAACTTGCATTAATCTCTTTTTCTCTCTTTTTCCCTCTCCCAACAACTTCTTTCCTGGAATGTGACCTCTGCTCCAGTCTGGCAGTTGCTCTCTAGACACGCTGTTCTGCCATATCCTGAAACTAGTCTTTGCCATCACCCTGGAAATTGTTTCCATTATCTCTTGAGTTAGATCCCACTTCCAAGATCTCATGCCTTCTTTTTCTCCTTTTTTTTTTTTTTTTTTTGAGACGGAGTCTTCTCTTGTTGCCCAGGCAGGAGTGCAGTGGTGCAATCTTGGCTCACCACAACCTCCGCTTCCTGGGTTCAAGTAATTCTCCTGCCTCAGCCTCCTGAATAGCTGGGACTACAGGCACGTGCCACCACATCCAGCTATTTTTGTATTTTTGGTAGAGTCGGTGTTTCACTGTGTTAGCCAGGATGGTCTTGATCTCCTGACCTCGTGATCCACCCACTTGGCCTCCCAAAGTGCTGGGATTACAGGCGTGAGCCACAGCGCCCAGCCTCATGCCTTATTTTTCCTTGGTTTACCACTTTGTTTTTACAGAGCATATTTTGAAGTAGCTTTCTAAGAAAGAATGAATGAGAAGTAAAACTTTTGAGAGCATGTACCTCTGAAAATGTCACATATTATGGTACTCAAAAAGGTACCCTGCAGCATCAGCATTACCAGAAAACTTGTTAGAAATGTAAATTCACATGTCGCCCAGTCTTACTGAATCAGAAATTCAGGGGTACAGTTCAGCAATTGCTTGTCCTCTGGTTGATTATGATGCATGCTGAAATTGGAGAATTACTGTTTTACACTCATACTTGGCCAACAGTATGAGTTTTTAACATGGAGCTTCCATGTTAAAAGTCCTTTCCATTTACAACTGCTTCAATGTCTTTTAGCATCCAATACTGCCTCTGAGAATTCCAATGTCTGTTTTTGTGTGTGTGTGTGTGTGTGTGTGTGTCTGTTTTTCTTTTTATTTTGAGACAGGGTCTTCACTCTGTTGCCCTGGCTGGAGTGCAGTGGCATGACCTCAGCTTACTGCAACCTCCGCCTCCCAGGTTCAAGAGATCCTCCCACCTCAGACTCCCGAGTAGCTGGGACTACAGGCACACACCTGGCTAATTTTTGTATTTTTTTTAAGTAGAGACAGGGTTTCACTGTGTTGGCCAGGATAGTCTTGAACTCTTGACTTCAAGTGATCACCCATCTTGCCCTCTGAAAGTGCTGGGATTACAGGCATAAGCCACTGTGCCTGGCCTCCAATGTCTTTTGTACTGAACTTTTTTTTTTCTTTCTGAAATCTTTTAGGGTCTTATCTTTATCCCAGGTATTCTGATATTTCATAATGACATGCCTGATTGTGGGTCTTTTTTCTTTCACTGTTTTTGGCACTATTTTTAATCCGGAAGTTTTTTTCTTCAGTTCTTCAGTTTATTTCCTTGATAATTCCTTCTCCTAGATTTTCTTTGTTCTCTCTTTGTCAGATGTTAGACTCCTTGGATTCATTTTACTTCTCCTTTCAACCTTTCACTAAACTTGTCATCACATCTTTAGTCTCTATGAGTTCTTTCTTGTTTTTTTGTTTTTGAAAAAGACAGAGTCTCTAGTCTGTCACCCAGGCTGGAGTGCAGTGGCGCAATCACAGCTCATTGCAGCCTTGTTCTCCTGGGCTCAGGTGATCCTCCCACCTCAGCCTCCTAAGTAGCTGGGACTACAGTCATGTACTATCTCGCCCAGCTAATATTTGTATTCTTTGCGGAGATGGGGTTTTGCCATGTTGCTTAGGCTGGTCTCAAACTCCTGTGAGCCTCCTGCCTTGGCCTCCTAAATGCTGGGAGCCACCGTGCCCAGCCTTCTTTCTTTTTCTACTGCTCCTTTTATGTAGCATTTTAAAATTGTTTCATTGCTGTAGTCTTTTATCTCTTTGATCATCCTAACTGTAGTTTTATGCTTTCAGTGACTGTGCATTTTATCTGTTTCCTCCCAATGTCTTTTACTCCCTCTTCATTTGTTTTGGTCTTTCTCTTTTGTGTTAGAGAATTTCCTCAAATGTCTGTGAGCTCTGACTATCAGATCATACTTAAAAGCAAAAGGTCAATCATCACTGGAACCTCTGTGTTTACAGGTTGGCCTTGTTTAGCAAGGAACCGTTTTGTATGTATATGTTTAAGGAAAACTCCAAGTTTTTTTTTTTTTAAATGAAAACTACAAACTTTATTTCTCAACATAAGCTCAATCAAGTTCAAGACACTTTTGTAAGTGAGGATACCAGCCATTTAGTTTATCTGTAAAAAACTGAGGTCCTGGGAATTTAACCATGTCAATGCTATTTTTTTTACACTATTAACTGAAGAAAAAGGCTGTCCTTCAATGGTATGTTAAGATCTGAAACAAAAATAAACCAAAAGGAGCCAAATTACAACTGTAAAGTGGATGCCTAATGATTTCCCACTGAAACTCTTGCAAAATTGCCCTTGTCTGATGAGAGGAATGAGCAGGAGCATTGTTGTGGTGGTGAAGGACTCACACGTGAAGCTTTCCCAGGTGTTAGAAAACTCCAAGTTAATGCTGAGAAGACATGCGTCATATGGCAAAGTCACTGAAAGAATGTCCATGCACCTTTCTTGTCTTGGTAAATTTAATACTATAAATAGCAAGATATATTATCAGAAAACTGCCAGGAAAAGTATACTTGGTAACTCAACAGCCCTTATTTAACTTTGAACATTTATGCCTATTTGTGAATATTGTTCTTAATGTGTATTTTACTAAAAATTAACTATTTTCGCATACTCTTAATAATAAAAAGTTTGCTACGTTAAGATAAATGGGCTTTAAAATTTTCCCCCTGAGATTCTCATCTTTGCTAAACTCGTACTTTACCAGGCCAGTTTTAAAAACGGGGCTAAAAAAAAAACCTAGTATGTGAAGTAAGCAGTATGAGAGACATCTAGTGGTCAAACTGTACACATAAATGCTCTTTAAAATGCGCAGCACAAAATAGGAGAAGCTAGTTAAGGCTCTAGTAAATTCTGAGGATTAAGGATCTGCATGGCACAAATTTATAGTTTTGTTTTTTTTTTTTCTTTTTTCGTTTTGAGACAGTCTTGCTCTATCTCCCATGCTGGAGCACAGTAGTGTGATCCCGGCTCACAGCAACCTCTGCTTCCCGGATTCAAGCAATTTTCCTGCCTCAGCTTCCTGTGTAGCTGGGATAACAGACACATGCCATCACACCCGGCTAATTTTTTTATTTTTAGTGGAGGCAGGGTTTCACCATGTTGGTCAGGCTGGTCTTGAACTCTTGACCTTAAGTGATCTGCCCATCTTGGCCTCCCAAAGTGTAGTTTTAAAATCATATATACATATATATGAGACAAGAGTCTTGGTCTGTTGTCCAGAGTACACTCTAAAATGCAGTGGTTCAATCATAACTCTGTCCTCTCAGCCTCCTGGGCTCAAGCCATCCCACCTCAGCCACCTGAGTAGCTACGACTATAGGCATGTGTCACCATGCCCAGCTAATTTTAAAACTTTTTGTAGAGATGGAGGCAGTCTCACTATGCTGCCCAGGCTGGTCTTAAACTCGTGGCCTCAGGCGATCCTCCCACCTTGGGATCCCACCTAGCGATCCCAGAATGCTGGGATTATGGGCATGAATCACTGCACCTGGCTGATGCCACAATTTAAGACTTGAGCTCAGGTTTAGAAAAAGAGAATTAATAACAAACAGTAAGTTATATATCGGTTCCCAATTAAGGCAGCATTACATCATGAAAAGAAGCATGTAGTTCTTTTTTAAGCATGAATTTGGCCTCTAGTCCTAAGATTGTGAGCAATTTATTTTTTCAACCTTTCTAAATCAATTTTCTTTCCTGTAATATGGTCGTACCTATCCTCACAGAAATGTTGTGAGAAATGAGATAACATTCTAGCACAGTATCTTGTACATAGTTGGCACTGAGTAAATGTTAATTCCCTTAAAAAATGTTGAGGCATCTTATTTTTTTAAACGAACTCTGTAATTTATAGTCCTGAGAAGATGGTATTAATATCTCCATTTTAAAGATTACAAAACTGAGACTCAAAAGTTAATTGACTGCTAAGTGGCAGAATATACATTCATATTTTTATATTCCCTTCCAATCTATGACTTCACAAAACTGGTAAACTTGTGTCAGCCTGCAGTGACATCCATGGATTCCACAAAGTGCTCTGCAATTTAATTCTTCACAGTTTGCAATTATGATATTTAAAAGATTTAGTTCAGTGTTTCTGATCATGTATCAGATTCCACAGAATAGAAACATGGAATAAAAACATTCTATTCCACAGAATAGTCATGTCATAACATTTCTCCTCATAAAGCTTAGTTCTATATTACAATCCTAAAAATCACCCTACCATTCTTCAGTTTACATTACCAAAATCATAGGATTGAACATTTCTACTGTCAGTTTCTTCAAAAGTACTTCAATACTTTTTAATACTTTAAAAAAATTAAAATAACATACCTGTAAATGAAGATGACTGAGAATGTATTGAGCCCTTGTTAAGCATTGTCATTATTTGACCAACAAATTCCTTAGGAATAAAATTGGCATAAGGTAGTATCTCATTGCTGATAAGCTGAACTACCTAAAACAAAAGGGGCAAATGTAAATGTATTGTTTTCCTTGAAAGAGACTGACTAAAATAATTTCTAGAGTAAAATTTAAATTTTACTTTAAATGAAAATCAGTTAAAGAACTCTCCTTTAAAGAAGTACACAAACATTTTAATGTTAGCATACAGGATGACTACTAATCTGTTTCTCTCATCTGTCTTAGTAACTTTAATACAAAATAGTACCATAACTGTTTACTATTTGGACAAATGTTGATCTTCAGCATGATAACTGCAAATAGGGCTCTAGAGAAAAATAGTCAGCATATGAAAATTTACCCATGTTAGAATTAAAATATTCAAAATAGGATTAAGAATAACATTTAAATCACTTTTTATAACCAAAAACTACCAGCTGTAAGAGAAATTAAAGTTATATTCATTTTTGTCAAATAGTTTATTTCTAACAGGTAGTACGTTATTTTGCCCTTTAAAGTCCACAAGAGCTTTAATACAGTAATGGCACAAAAGGCAATATTTTGTTTCCATATAATGCCTATGCATTTTAAATGTATATTTTATTGATTTATTTATTTATTTTTGAGATGGAGTCTCGCTCTGTTGCCCAGGCTGGAGTGCAGTGGCGTGATCTCGGCTTACTGCAAGCTCCACCTCCTGGGTTCACGCCATTCTCCTGTCTCAGCCTCCTGAGTAGCTGGGACTACAGGGGCCCACCACCACACCCAGCTAATTTTTTTTTTTGTAAGTAGAGATGAGGTTTCACCATGTTAGCCAGGATGGTCTTGATCTCTTTACCTCGTGATCTGCCCGCCTCCGCCTCCCAAAGTGCTGAGATTACAGGCATGGGCCACTGCACCCGGCCAAATGTATATCTCGGTTCCTCTATCCCACTTAAAGAAAAAAAGCCTCCCAAACCCTAACCATCAACAAAAAAATCCACAACCACAAGAACTGCTTATTTAAATTCCATTTACAATCCTTAAAATATATTTCTTATTTTTTTACTTTTTTTTTTTAGAGACAGGGTCTTGCTCTGTTGCCCAGGCTGAAGCACAGTGGTACAGTCGTAGCTCACTGAAGCCTCCAACTCCTGAGCTCAAGTGATCCTCTCACCTCAGTCTCCCGAGTAACTAGGACTATAGGTGTGAACCACCATGCCCAATTAACTTAAATTTTTTTTTTTTGTAGAGATGGTGTCTTGCTATGTTGCATAGGCTGGTCTCAAACTCCTGGTCTCAAGCAATCCTCCTGCCTCAGCCTCTCAAAGCACTAGGATTACAAGTATGAGTCACCATTCCCAGCCTCAAAATATATTCTTTTTTTTTTGAGACAGAGTCTCGCTCTGTCACCCAGGCTGGAGTGCAGTGTTGCGATCGCGGCTCACCGCAAGCTCCGCCTCCCGGGTTCACGCCATTCTCCTGCCTCAGCCTCCTGAGTAGATGGGACTACATGTGCCCGCCACCACGCCCGGCTAATTTTTTGTATTTTTAGTAGAGACGGGGTTTCACCGAATTAGCCAGGATGGTCTCGATCTCCTGACCTTGGGATCTGCCCACCTCAGCCTCCCAAAGTGCTGGGATTACAGGCTTGAGCCACTGCGCCTGGCCTCAAAATACATTCTTTAAAAAACACTATTTGCTTTAAGAATTCCATAGGCTGTATATACAGATGATTAAAAATGGAAAAATTCAAGCAACTGATTAATTTGAACCAGAAACATCTGGTATGTCAAACTGCAGAGTAAGCTCTCAAATACATGCCCCCTGACTGATGGATTTATTTCACTGAATCAACTCTTTTTAAACTTATTAAATGAAATATTAATAAGTATTGGGACAACATGCACAAAGCACAAGACTATAACAAATCTAAGGAAGTCACTTTTAAAATGTCAGTCCTTTAAACATCAACATTTAACCTGTAAGAGTTTTAATGCTTTCAGTTTTAATCTTAACTTATTACTTTATTCTTTCAGCAACTGTATAGTTCAAACACTTTCACTATTTGGTTTCAAAAATGGTCACAGGAAAACATTTTAAATAGCTTCCTTACCTCGACATCAATATTTTCATTTCTTTGAAACTCTTGAATAGAGAGATTATCTGGAGGTATGCTAAAAAAATAAACAAAATACTTGATTTTTAAAGATAAAATATTCCCTGCAAATACAAACAAAATAGATAAACAGTATTCAAATGTCAAAAAACTATGTCTTCCAACCCAGGTTGGGGCATTATTATTTATTTAGAAGAGTAATATTATAAATTAAAGTAATTAGTTTAAACGATTAAGCTAATTACAAACATGATACTCTAACTACAAAAACACTAGGTCCAATGTTGAACTAAATAAAATCTGTAGAACTAAACTTCTTTCGATATTATGAATGAAAAAACAATGAAAGGTAAAGATATATCATCTGCAGCAGAGCAGAAGTTACCATTGTGGTGTTACTTGAATTCACTTATATTGGTGGTTATTTAAGAGAGCCTTAGTGAAGCTGCTGAATTATTCACTCAGAGACAGTCCATTAGTCATTAATTTGTAACAAATACAACGGATTAAAGATCTTTACAATAAAGAGAGAAAATCTGTAAAGAAGAGGACTGATGCAGATTTTCTAAAGCAGAAAATTGTTCCAACAAGAACAAAGGAAATCAATAGTTCTGAGAGAACCAAGGTGGTGGACTCCAGACTGTGGCTCATAAGAGTGAACATTAAAATGGACATAAAGTTAAAAAAACAGCAAGATACTATTTAAAACCAGTTGAGAATAGGATAGTAATAACTGTTAGAATAATGACAGCTAAAAAGTTAGCCACTGTACATGAGCTTTATTTGTATTAATCTCCCATAGCAATTCCATGTAGTAATTATTACATAATCAACAGAAGAGGGAACTGAAACTTAGAATGCCTACTAATATGCCCGAGAACACACTTTAAGTAAATGACGAGGCCACAATCTAAACCTAGATTTATGTGATATTTGAGCCTACATTATTCTTTTTTATGTTGTAGATGTAAAAATAGTATTAGAACATTTAGGTTTAATATATACTTCTGTATATTAAGTATAATATACAATTTTATATACAGGAATATATGGGCATCAGACTGTGGTTTCATTGATTTGGACATTTTTCATTCAACAAATATCTACTGAGTACCAATTACTTTGCATCAGGTATTATATTCTTGGGTGTTCAAGATCTAGCTGTGAACAAGATCGACTCAGCCCATTTCTCATGGAACTTAGATTCTGGTGTCCAAGTCCTAAGCTAACTATAAATTGGTAGTAGGAACTAGAGGAAAAAATTGAAAGAAATTTACCCAAACCTGAACCAATCAGAAGAATTTCACAATCACTGCCATCAAAGCAGCTTCACAGACTATATCTGCATCTCTAGAGACAAAAGTTGTGTTTAATTTATAACCAAAGAAGGTAAGGGCTTAGTAATATTAAAAGATTTGTGATGATGGTGGAGGTAACTAAGGATGAGTTGATTATCAACAAAAAATGAAGAAGCAAAAAAATAAAATAATATTATTAGTGTGTATGTTTCTATATTATTAGTGTGTATATTTCTATATTATAGTTCAGTGTTTCTATATTGTTTCTATATTATAGTATGTTTCTATGTTATAGAAATATACACACTAATAATATTAATAATTTTAGTGTGTACAGCATGTGCTAAGGTATATTAGTGTGTTTATTTCAACACACATTAATAATATTAATACTATTTGGATCATATACCAGAAACACTGAACTAGATTTTTAAGATATCATATGATGAGGGAAGAGAGTAGCATATAAAACTAAAAACTGAATAACTAATAGTTATTTAATTTATAACTAGCAAACATATCAAAAACATCGATTGAGCTTTAAAAATGCTGATTAACAGAATTTATGTATAAATTATAAGGGGCAATGGTCAATACTGCAGGTTACAAATGAGCCATGTAAGATCTTAAATTCCTTAAATTTGAAAACTACAGTAATCTTTAAAAATTTATTTTCACGAATCTTTCTTTAAAATAAAAAAGAGCCTTCAAACTGATAAAGTGTTATTTGTACTTTTTGTCAGTTCTCTCTGTATGACATATTAAAATTTTTGTTGCAATATAATCTACATATCATAAAATTCACCCTTTTAAAAGATACAATTTAGTGTTCCTTAGTATATTCATAAAGTTGTACAAACATCACCATTTCTAATTCCAGAACATTTTGATCACCCCCCAAAAAAACTCTGTACCCATAAGGAATCACTCCCCCTTATCTCCCTTCCCCCCACTCCTGGGAACCATAAATCTACTTTGTCTCTATGGATTTGTTACTCTGCATATATCCCATAAACAAGATCATACAATATATGGCCTTTTGTGTCTAGTTTCTTCCACTTAGCATTATGTTTTAAATGTTCATCCACGTTAGAGCATGCATTAGCACTTCATCCTTTTTTATGGCTGAAAAATATTCCACTGTATGAATACACTACATTCAATTTATCTTTACAGCAGTTGATAAACATTTGGGTTACTTTCACTTTTTTGCTACTATGAATAACACTGCTGTGAACATTAGTGTCCAAGTTTTTGTGTGAACATGTGTTTTCAATTCTTTTGCATAGTCCTTTGTGATTTTTAATGTAAGGTCCACAGATCATTAATTGTATAACTTCCCACTCACCCATTGTGTCTCCTTTGATAACTACCATGTTTTGGTATTCAAAGTTGGCTGAATGAATTTCTAATAGACTTCAAGTGTTTACCAAATTGCAGTCCTTATGTTTTTCAACTTTGACTTTTTCTTTCTCTGAAACTGTTTACTTATAATAGCCCTCAATGACATGCAAAGGCTTTCTTTTCTTCTAGTTGATTTTATTTGTAGTTTCTGTGTTATTGTATTCCCTTGCCAAAGCATCTTGCAGATCAAAAAGGTTGGGGAATATTAGAGAGACAGATATGTTTATTCTTAAAGTCTTAGAGTATATATTAATTAGGTTAAAGGATTTATAAAGGTACCAATATAAAAAATGATCAAGTATCAGTCTTATTTAAATTCATTAAGTCTTGCCATTCCAAGCAACATTTCAAAATAATCTTGCTACTGTTCAAACACTACTGATAAACTTCAGCTATAGAACATAGTACATATGTGGCATTAAGTAAAGTTTAAAATCTAAAAGTTTATGACCTCCAAAGTTATCAGTCATTTAGAAAACAAAAACTAAGAGAAAACCTGTTCTCATGAAACTGTGAAAATGTACATGGTTTTTAAGTTCTCTTAACACTGCATTTTTAGTATCAACTGACCAATAAAAGCTTTCTATTTGAGCTTTAAACTATTTTTGATCTATGAAACAAAAACTAAACTGGCTTTATCCAATATAAGCTGTAAGTTAAAAAGGCTGTTTAAAAACATTCAAGGACCTTTACAATTACTCTAACAAATAACTTTTCATCTTTCTTTTTTGAGACAGGGTCTCACTCTGTTGCCCAGGCTGGAGTGCGGTGGCACAATCACAGCTCACTGCAATCTCAATCTCCCGGGTTCAAGCAATCATCCCACCTCAGCATCCCAAGTAGTGGGGACTACAGGCACACGCCACCACACCTGGCTAATTTTAAAATTTTTTTGTAGAGGCGAAGTCTCACTATGTTGCCCAGGCTGGTGTTGAACTCCTGGGCCCAAGCAATCCTCCCAACTTGGCCTCACAAAGTGCTGGGATTACACACTCCGGCTGGCCTTCTTTTTGTCTTTCAAATAAAGAAAATAATGCCTAGTGATGGGAAAGGACCAGCTCATGATCAACAGAAAGTAGACAGCAAGTCAGAACCAGGTCACAGGTCTCCTGACTCTCAATTTAGTGTGTTCATCAACTACTCCATGGAGTAGAAAGCTTCAGTCTATAACTAGAATAACCATAACTTGGAATACTGATACTGTGTTACTTGAGAGCTGAATTTAGAAGTTTTATTACTTTTTAGCCATTAAAAGTAACTCCAAGCCTGGGCAACATGGCAAAATCCCGTCTCTACAAAAAAATACAAAAATTAGCTGAGTGTGGTGGTGTACGCCTATAGTCTGAGTTACAAGGGAGGCTGAGGTGGGAGAATCACTTGAGGTCAGGAGGTCAAGGCTGCAGTGAGCCATGAACATGCGACTTCACTGCAGTCTGGGTGACAAATCAAGACACTGTCTCAAGTAAAATAAAAACAAACAAACAAAAACCTCCAAATTTAGAGCTAAATTTCTAAGTCTCAGTTATTTAGAGTTTGGCCTTTAGAATTCTGGTTTAAAATATAGTTGTTTCACAGGAATTAACATGTATAATGTCACCTTTTCTAAAAGAAAGAAAAAACATTAATGACAATAATAGCGGTAACAAGCATTTTAGAGTACTTACATGCCAGGTACTATTCTAAGCATTCACTCATTTTAAGTGATTTAATCCTCACAATAACCCTATAAGTTAGGCAGCATTACTACTGACATTTAACAGTGAGAAAAATGAGTCACTGAAAGGTTTAATAACTTGTCTAAAAAGCAGTACAAAGCAGTACTACTGGGATTTGAATCCAGGTAGTCTGGTTGCCAAGCCAATGCTCTTATCCACTATGCTGGCTGCTTCTTAAGTAATGTATTTTCCAACACACCAAACATATTCAAACCTTTAAGATAAGTAGAGCCATAATCAGGCAAAATATTTGAAATGAAATTATACAACTACATTGATACAAAATTATGTACAATACTATTATTTGGCCGTTGGTTCCAGTGTTCACTTTTCTATATTAAAAAAACTCTCCGGAAAACGAGATTTAATAAAATAAGAATAAAGTCCAGAAAGTGAAGAATATTTAATAAGAAACTCAAGAATAAGGAAGATGGCAGAAAAACTGTCTCAAGAAAAACAAAAACAAGCAAACAAAAACTTCTAAATTTAGAGCCAAAATTTTAAATGAAATTATACAACTGCATTGATACAAAATTATATAAAATATTATTTTACATAGAAAAACTTTTTTTTTTATATAGACAGGATCTTGCTATGTTGTTCAGGCTGGATTTGAACTCCTGGGCTTCAGCAATCCTCCCACCTCAGCCTCCCAAAGTAGCTGGGATTACAGGTGTGTCACCACATCTGGCTAGGGAAAGCAACACTTAAAGAAGTTTTACTCATTGCAAAAAAAAAAAAAAAAAAAAAGATCTGAAAGCTTATTCAATTTGTTAATGGGGCATTAAGCATATATAGAAAATTAGAAAATAAAAGGAAAAATTTAAATTTCTCAACCTATGTGCCTGACACAAATTAAGTGACTCAGGTTCTTATGTCTATGAAGGAACTCAAATTTTCAGGGTTATTTTAAAGATGAAAACATAATTTGTTTGAATATAGTTTATGAGTGCATATAATTTTTCCTTCAGAAACACAATATGCTTACATTGGTATCAATAGCATTTCTAGAAGTGAAAAATATATAAAATACACAACAAAGTCTGACCACTTGCAAGACAGAAATTAGGATCACCTATTATTATTTTAAATTCTGAAATACAAGACAAACTTTTATAGGGGAAATGCAAGTTAATCTTCTGCACCCTAGAAATTTTCTTTACTGAATAATTAAATCATATTAGAATAGTAAAGAAACTTTTTTTCAGTTAATTCATTCTGTTGTGGACTCAATCATTATCCATATGCCAATGTAGTTTTTTCTTCAACTACATCACACCCGTAATTTAAGTGCTTTCAAACTAATAATGTTAAACAGTTATTTAGCAGTACACAGTATTATTCTACAATATCAAAAAATGATTGATGGATACAAACATTTAAAAAATTGGCCAGGTGCAGTGGCTCATGTCTGTAATCCCAGAACTTTGTGAGGCCGAAGTGGGAGGATCATTTGAGCCCAGGAGTTCAAGACACCTAGGCAACATAGTGAGACCCTCCATCTCTACAAAAAATTTTAAAAATTAGCCAGGTGTAGTGGCATGAACTTGTGGTCCCAGCTGCTCAGGAGGCTGAGGTGAGAGGATTGCTTGAGTCTGGGAGGTCGAGGCTGCAGCGAGTTGTGATCACACCGCTGCACTTGGGTCTGGGCAACAGAGCAAGGCTCTGTATCAGAAAAGAATTTCACCATTGTAACACAAAGGATAATTACTTATGCTAGAAGGATTAAACAATGCCTGGTTATTACAGCTATTACAGACAAGTCCACATTTAGTAAAAGGGCATGCTTTAGATCTGTCCTGCCCAACACAACTTTCTGTGATGATGGAAATGTCCAATAATCTGCTCTACCCAGTGTGGTAGCTGCTAGTCACCCATGGCAGTGAGTACTTAAAACATGCCTAGAGAGACTGAAGAAAATTTTAATTTTATTTAAAGTTTGGTTTTAATTAGTCATTTGTAACTAGTGATTGCTACTGTACTGAATAGCACAGCTCTAGGTGGACCTCCACAAATTCTTCATTCAAAAAACGTAGTCTGTGTTCCAATCATCCTACAGTAAGTAGTTCAGTGAGGGGTCAAAATAGCATCCTAAATACAAGCTTTAAATTAGATACCATACAATGAAAATTATTATTCCCTGACAAATCTAAACATCTTAAAGAGCTGATCATTATATTGCCACTCATCCGATTTATTCTGGTAATGCACTGATTTTCTAACATTGTTTTTCTCTTGTAATGCTCAATGGGCATCAAATTAAAAAATGAATCGTCTTAGTTTTATTAAGTTAAAATGCTTAAATATGATGCATTCGTATTGTTTTATATATGATATTCCTGTCTTATAACTAAAAATAATACAAAAAGCAAAAATCTCCATTGTTCATGGATAATGTACCCAAAGGATAAATGGCTAATCCAGGTGTTTTTAATACAATCTAGCAACCTTAATAATCAATTACTTTGTTAATGAATAAAGACAACTGTTTTTAGAGCAACTGAAGATATAATGTGCCACTTCTTGAAAGATTGTCTTAATTTTTAAAATGAATGAGCTGACCTTTTAGTAAAGAGAAAATCTTCAAAAGTATTGGCTAGTTCTGGCCACATACTGTCAAATTTTCCAGAAGAAGCATGCTGCCGGGCAACAGGTAGCCCAATAGAAAGAACTTTGAGGAGAGAGGATACTGCTAGTTTCCATGTGCTTTCAGAAGGGCAGGAATACTTCAAACTGAGAGGAACCCTAAGAGTCTGAAAATAAAGACAGTTTAATATAAGCATTAATTAAAACATACACACACAATTTTAATTACGTAAGAAAAACTACAGCAGAGAAAAAAATAGCATAGGTATTTTCATCTTTAAAAGGACTGTATTTTCATTTAAAAAATGAGGTTATTTCCCAGAAAGGTCAATTCCCAGAAAGGTCCTCAAATACTGCCTGGAAAAATATACTTTTAAATCCTATCTCTATCTTATAAACAATGAGCCTAAATAAATAACTTTTTTGAATCTCAGTTTTTCATCATTAATAACAGGGATAGTATCCGAACAGTTAAGAGTAGGAAACACAATTCTGTAGCTTTTATTAACCTGACGTTATGGAATTAGAAAATTCTGGCTGGGCACAGTGGCTCAAGCCTTTAATCCCAGCACTTTGGGAGGCCAAGGCAGGTAGTTCCCGAGGTCAAGAGATCAAGACCATCTGGGCCAACATGGTGAAACCTCATCTCTACTAAAAATACAAAACTTAGCTGGGTGTGGTGGCACACACCTGTAGTCTCAGCTACTTGGGAGGCTGAGACAGAGAATCGCTTGAACCCGGGAGGTGGATGTTGCAGTGAGCCAAGATCACGCCACTGCACTCCAGCCTGGCGACAGAGTGAGACTCTGTGTCAAAAAAA